TGCAGGTTACAACATACAAATTACAATTAGGATGGTAGAAATAGTTGTTACAAATAGGCCAAGGAGTCGGAGTCGGAGTCGGAGTCGGAAGCATAAAAATTTGAGGAGTCGGAGTCGGAGTCGGAGTCGAAGGTTTTGTCTTCGACTCCACAGCCCTGGTTCAGCCCCTCATAAATGGTGGCAGTAGCAGCCCTCATACAGTAAACCCTCGATAAGTCGGCACATTTGGGCTCTGGCCTTGCCGAGTTATCCCAAATTCCGACTTATCGAGGCACTTTCCCCCTTCATACAAAATTCAACAATAAAAAATTATCGACCCATATGTGTGTGTGTACAGGTAATTACTAAATGTCCAAAAGGGTAACACTTACCTGCACTGCAGGCGAAGAATGAAGCATCATTGTAGGTGACACAGGTGTATGGTAGGTGACACAGGTGCATGGTAGGTGACACAGAGGTATGGAAGGTGACACAGAGATATGGTAGGTGACACAGGTATGGTAGGTGACACAGATGCATGGTAGGTGACACAGAGGTATGGTAGGCGACACACAGGCTTGGTAGGTGACACAGGCATGGTAGGTGACACAGAGGTATGGTAGGTGACAGGTATGGTAGGTGACACACAGGCATGGTGGGTGACCTGGCATGGTAGGTGACACAGAGGTATGGTAGGTGACACAGGTATGGTAGGTGACACATGGGTATGGTAGGTGACACAGAGGCATGGTAGGTGATACCGGTGACTAGATATGCCGAGATTTTTGCTGTTGACAACACAATATACATAATGTACATTATGTCGTTTCTCACTCTTGATTTATTTATTTATTTTTATTTATTTTTTACTATTTATGGTTATTTTTTATTATTATTACTATTATTTTGTTTATTAATTTTTTTATTAATTTTAATTATTATTATTATTACCCCCTGTATTATTATTATTATTATTATTATTATTATTATTATTATTATTATTATTATTATTATTATTATTATTATTATCTTCGCCCCCTAGGCCCTGGTGTAGGTCAGTGACCTGTGCCCGGGTGGGCTAATCCCTGTAAAAAAAGAAAACATTCCGAGAACATATCCATGCTGAGTTGTATAAAATTCCGAGTTATCGAGGGTTTACGGTATCTTAAAAGACAGGTTACATACGCATCAGCTTTCTGTGTATTTTTTCTTTAAAATGATTGTGACTCCATTTCTAATTTATCAAACCAGGAAGAAGCATGAAGGAAACAGGGAGAGGAGTCAAGGAAATTAAAGGAAGAAGAAAAGCAAAATGAGGAGGAAAAACTATTATATCTGACAGAGCAACGCCGTCGTCACGAGGAAGAAAGGAAACTGTAAGTGTGTAGTGGATTCCTCCCCTACAAATGCTGTTTGTTGCTGCCTAGCCGACCCCACGACTTCACCAGCCTGCCCTCGTGGTCTAGGTCAGCAACCAGCGCCGCCTTACATGACGGAGGTCAACTATTATGCCACGCCTACCTCTGCTATATAAAACCTCACCTCGTGGTGACCTCTCTCTTTCTACCTACGGCCACCAGCAAGCAACACCTCCTCCTCCTCTGCTCCTGCCTGGAGGCCCTCGCTCCCGCCGGCGAGCATGGCGACCCACAAGCTGTCCTCCTCTGAGCACCCTCACCAACCAGCTCTCTCTACTCAATGCTTGTAACCATGCTGCCTTCCCAGCACCAAGCTGCATAGTACATCCAATACAATATGTATACAGAGAGCACATTGTGAGTTTCCTTTCTCCATCCCATCCTGAGTGAGAACAAATATCTCGTACCCACAAATGGTGACCCCCGGAGATTCGCTCTCACACAGGATGGAGGAGAAACTGATCACTCTCCCAGTCTTCAAGCAACATGGAAGACTGTCTTATCCACACAGAGGCAGCTCTCATTGGCTCTACAGCTACTGTCTCTACACCGCAGGTTAAACACCCAAGAGCAGCACTGCTTCTCTAAGCAGACACCAGTTCCTCTTCCTGCCCCAAGCACCACGTCCTACCGACCCCAACACACCGTCCTGCCTCAGACGCCCCCGGGCCCAGCAGTACCCTCTGCCACTGTCCTGGACCCTCCCCCTGACGTGGACCCTCCTCCGCTCCTGCCTGGCAGCCCCTGCTCCCGACGCGGCCCATGCGCCTGAGCGGCCCCACACACCCTTTTTTTTTCTCCCTCAGGTACTCCCTGCTACTGTCCTGCACCCTGCTGCTGTCGTGGACTCTACTGCTGCCATGCACCCCAGTGCTGTCATGGACCCTCTTCCTGATGCAGCCCCTGCTTCTGACCCAGACCCACACACCCCAGCAGGCGCATCTGAGGACTCTGTACCTGCCGCGAGAGAAGCACAACATTCATTGCCTCCACAACCCTCCTTCTCCCTCTTCTCCCACAGATCTCGTGTATCTAGACAAAGTTGTCTCCCCTAGCGGCCGGCTCATCCACGCCCTCGCCGTTATGTCTCACATGTGGCATGCACCGCCCGTTCTGCCTCACATGTGGAATGCAACCCTGCAGACAACAAGTCTCCTACACTGCCTGGAGGGAAGGGGGGAGTATTGTAGTGGATTCCTCCCCTATAAACGCCGTTTGTCGCTGACTAGCCGATCCTCGAATTCCCCAGTGTATGCCTCGTGGTCTAGGTTAGCAACCAGCGCCGCCTTACACGACTGAGGTCAACTATTAAGCCATGCCTACCCCCGCTATATAAGACCTCACCTCGTGGTGACTTACCTCTTACTACCCACAGCCACCAGCAAGCAACACCTCCTCCTCCTCTGCTCCTGCCTGGAGGCCCTCGCTCCCGCCGGCGAGCATGGCGACCCACAAGCTGGTCCTCCTCTGAGCACCCTCACCAACCAGCTCTCTCTACTCAACGCTTGTAACAATGTTGCCTTCCCAGCACCAAGCTGCATTGTACATCCAATACAACATGTATACAGAGAGCACATTGTGAGTTTCCTTTCTCCATCCCATTCTGAGTGTAAACCAATATCTAGTACCCCACAGAACTATGGTGCTCTTTTGAAAACCGTGTTATTTAAAAAATAGGTGTTAATTTAATGCTAGTGTTGTTTTAAGAACATGCTAATTAAATCCGTGTAAAGCGAGAGGTGACTATACTGCTCCGAGCCCCCATGTCTGTGACTCATCTGTGAGGGTGTGTAAATTCATAAAATTAGAGAGGTAATTCAAATTTTAAGTTAAAGCAGGGAGTGAAGCTGTTCCATACATTCCCCGCTGCTGGGCGAAGTTTTGCTGGTGGTGGATAAGAAGATATCATTTGGGTCATATGTGCTATGACAATATATTATAATATTTGTTTGTTTTATCTCAAGCATAATTGCTTTTATTGCACTTTTCAATTGAAACGTAAGCATCTTGCATTTGATACATCATATTTTTATGTAAAATAGATGCGCATTCAGTAATACAGTACCTCGTTATTCACAAGCCTGCTTATTCGCAATTTATATTTTAACAGGCATATTCTATACTTAGTACAGTACCTATATTCGCAAAGCATACCTTGCTTATCCGCAAAGCAAATTAGAAAATTGGAAGAAATAATTACAGTATGCTACAGTAAATTTATTTTCAATTTTCAACCTGAAGTGATTGCCTTCAGTGGACCGCTCCCGAAATCCCAGGTGAACCCTGTTATTCTCTGCAAATACCACCTCTCCAGGATCGCCCACTGGTCCCCAGGTAGGGTCGTCCTCTACACTGATGGTTCTGTTGACCCCACTACAGGTAGGGCCGGGGCTGGTGTCTACATCTCCCGTCCTGATGCCCCTGAGCCTATCAAACTGTCTCTCAGAGTTTCTGACGGGGCATCCTCCACTCAGGTGGAACTAATAGCCCTCCTTGCTGCCCTTCTCGCTGAGGAAGAAGCAGATGGTTTCTGCCCCTTGCTTGTCTGCTGCGATTCCAGGTCTGCTCTCGACGGGATCGCATTTGGATCAGGGGAAAATAAGGACCTCATCCTCCGAATACGAGGGTTAACATCCACACTTCAGGATGCAGGCCGTCCTGTGACATTCCTATGGATGCCCAGTCATGTCGGTATCTTGGGGAATGAGGCAGCAGATGGCCTTGCCAAGACTGGCTGCAACAAGGCCACACCTGACTACGTTGTTCCCCGAACACTTTTGCAGCTCAGGACCCAAATTCGCCGCAAACAGAGAGAAGCTTGGGAAACAGCCATCCCCCTGGACTCCCCGCCCACCTGGCACAATGTCCTCCGTAAACTTCCTGACCTCTCGTACGTCTATGGGAGAGGGTCTCGTAAAGGGGACGTGATTGCTGCCCGTATCATCATTGGGTATGACTTTGCTTGGGAGATTGGTATCCCGGCATCCCCTGAGCAATGCTCTTGTGCATTATGCAGAAGACCCGACAGCAGCACCCTTATCCACTACCTCCTAAGATGTCTCCACACACAACGCTTCCGTGACGCCTGTTGGACCACCACTCCACGACCCCCTGACGGAGACACGATGATCCTCCCAATACTGGCCAGTTATTTTGTAAAAAACATTGATTATGTGTTAAAGGAATATCCTTCCTTCCTTAGGCTTTAGTAAGCCCCTTTATAATATTTATGCTATATATACTTGTCACACTTGCCAGATGCATCTGGTGTCATTGTACAGGGGTACCTAGTGACAGCACTAGGATCCCGCTTCCTCTATCAAGGAATAAACAATTGAAATTGAAAATTGAACTGCACAGGCTAGCTAGTGCAGCACTCATACTGTATTCCTGTCAGAAGTAGTGCTTGGCAGAGATGCCAGGTACGATGCTGTTACCAGCTTTGGACTTCTGACCCCAGGACTCGGCTGAATATGCTGTAAATGTTGTTCCTCTTTAATGGTCGTTAATTATGCCTGCACATCTCTTCATTTCCGATTTAATGGAATATTTCTGCTGGTTACCGTCATTTAATTTGGTTTATATTAGGCATGATAAAGGATTAATGTGTGGCTGTGCATTATTGCATTTATAATGTGCTTGGTGGGATTTTTTGGGTGGAGGCCATATGTGTTTTCATAATGGAGTTTTGTTTTCTATGTATGATGATATTTAACCTTTCAGGAGCAAAATAAGGAACATGTGCTGGAGGTGTGTGTCATCTCTGGTGCTTGGTGGCTCAAGCTATGCGAGCAGGCTGCATAGTTAATTGTTTTTGCTGTGTATTCATACACCAGGCCACGTGAAAGAGTTCTCTCTGTCTGCTTTGATCTGTTGCGTTGTGTGGTAGTGTCAATACTGTGTCAAAATGTTTTTTGTAATGCCTCCTACTCATTCACACATTTTATACACACACAATCACAAAGTTTAGCAATTATTAAAATATTTGTGTCGGTGTGTCTTTATAGTAAGTGAATTTTTTACACCCATGGTGAATCAATAACTGAGCAAGAATTATAGTACAGTACTCTATTTTGACCTTAACATGCAGAGGTCAGCTTATCTTGTGTTTTTTCACAGGAAGATTACTAAAAGATGTGGCATCATATGGTATAAACGATATATTTGCTATTTTTTACAGTATAATCACAGTCAAGAGATGTAAGCCTGGATTTGTGCACCATGCAGTGAGTGGTGATATAGATGGCGCGGGTGGCAGCATCACTCCGCTAGTTGCTCCTCCGGGTAAACAACGCCCTGGTGACTCAGGTCGACGCCATTTTGGTTGCACGGAATATAATTGTCAAGAGCCTCAAGCGTCCCGTGAACTTATACAGGATACAATATATTCTGGTGATACAGCCCCGTGAATGTATACAGGATACAATATATTCTGGTGATACAGCAGGGAGGTTTTAATCTTTCTGACTCGCCCATGATGTACAGCAACAGTAGAACAGGAGCTGCTGTGCACCGGCCTATTGCACAATGTAAGTCCACTTAACCAAGGTTAATTTAGGGAAGTCATCCAAAGAGTATTTCCATTATGGTCCGCGATAAATAGATCCTTAGTCATTAAAATTACCATCCACTTTTGTGTTGCCAAGGTGTAGAAAACGGCTACCACCAAAAGTTGTTTGTTGATTTTGGTATACTAATTGTTTTGATTATTTTAAGTATATTAATAGAGATGACAACTTTCTATTATGATTTTAAGGATATTTTTGTTATTTACTCTATCCCGCTCCTCCCGGCGCCATTTTTGTTGTTTATCTCGCTAATTCCCTCGTTTCTATAAATAATATTGGTGACTCTTCCACGTATTCCTCCTCGCCATTGCTGACTTATATCAACCTTAAGTTGTTTAATACATAAATTAACACGATAATGCATAGAACCTGACCTAACATACCCAACCTATGGGTATGTTAGGTCAGGTGTTCTCTGCATATTGTCGCTTCCATTTTTGTATTTAATATGATAGTAATTTTGTATAAGCGCACCCAACTTTGTTGGAAGTCAAAAAATAAATTTTTCAAGTGTATTTGTGTGTGTTTAGATCGGTTATGACCTTCATTTCCGTCGGAAATTTTCCGTTTTTTTTTTCTCAACTTTTTGTTGTTGGGGCGTTTTCCGAAAAAAAAAATAATGGCTAAGCAAATACAAAATGAAAAAAATAAAACACTAGAAAAACATAAACCAAACCAAACCTAACTGACTCACCATGTGATGGAATCACTAATTCTTACCCTATTGGCCTGGTTCTCGTGCGTCATTGGAGTTACCACAATGCCTCATATGTTGGTCTGGACATTTACATTCGTTCTTGCACTTAAGACACTTTACTGAGGTCGGGAGAACACCATGAGATCGATAAATTGCTATAATTTCTTCTTTTTAAAAAAAAAATGAATTAACTCCATATAATTGAAGTGACACCCATCGCAGACTTCCATGGTCAGAAATGAATTTGAATTTCGAAATATGAGACTCGAAATAAAAATCAATTTTGATTGGCCCAAAAATACCTTTAATTAAACCAAAAATCATTTTAATTGGTTGCAAAAAAAAACCCTCTTGATTGGCCGCGTGACGTGTACGGGAACACATGCGCGTGATGATTTATGAAGGAGACACGCTGTGTGGGAGGTGAGGTAGACGATAATGGTGGAAGATTAATGGAAGAAAATAGAGAAAATTTTGGATACTCTATCTCCGTTATTATACATTTGTGTCGGTAATGTAATAGATAAAAATTATCTTGTAATTAGACGTCTTGTATGATACTAGATTAGGGGTAGGAATGTCCGGTGCAAAAGTGTAATAATACCATTATGATGTTAGTGTGTAGAAAAATTTCAACCAATTCAGACAAGTCCTTCTGGTGGTAGCCGTTATCTACACCTTTACCTTTTGCACCAATACGCTGCCTCGTCAAAGAAGAGAACATTCAAGGTGATACTCTCTATTTTTTAATAGATTTTATGTTCGTTAGCTCGTGTTTATTAACTATTTAAAGGTAAATTTATGGCTAGTTCTGTGATGCAAACACCATCAATTCTTCGGCTTTTTCAATCAATTAAATGGTACTATGATTTCAGGCTTGATGATGATGATGATGATGATGTAGGAGATATTGAAGAAGCTGTTGGTGATAATTATGAAGTGGCAATGGTGAGATGACCTGGTGAAATGAGAGATGAACCCTCGTCCTCCCTGTGGTGAAATGAGAGGAGATGATCCCTCGTCCTCCCCGTGGCGAGATGACCTGGTGAAATGAGAGATTAACCCTCGTCCTCCCTGCGTCGCCTCAGTAGGTAAGAGCAACCTCTAAATTATATGTTAACATTTTATATAACTCAATAATTATATCAGTAAGTTTGTTTAGCACATATTTTTTTGTTATTTATGATGAAAATATTTATATAGTTTATTCTTGTTTACCTTAACTAACTAAAACTTTATTATTAGTTTATTACCATGAAATTGGGTAATTTGGTGACGTACTTAATTCAGTGTTAATGTCTTATATTTAACATAAACCAAACCTAATATATCAAACTTTGTCATACTTGAAGGTAAGGTATTGTAAGATGGTTAGGTTAGGTTGGGTTTGGTTTGTTAGGTTAAGTTTGGTTGGTCGGGTTAAGTTTGGCTGGTTAGTTTGTTTGGTTTGTTAGGTTAAGTTTGGTTGGTTGATGATTTGTGGCTTTTAGACAGAGTTGTAAAGTAACAAAATAAATGTTACTTGAGTATTGTACTCGAGTAACATTTTTGGGTGTTTACTTTTTAAAAATTACTACTACAGGTTGTACCACTCTATAGTCCGGCATTCTGTGGTCCGGAACGATTTTAGTTTGTCCAATAGGTAGATAGGCAGTTATTTTTTTTTTTTTACTAATCTGAATTATTATTATTATTACAGGAGTATTAAATTTTTGCCCCTCAGGCCCCAATGTGGGTCAGTGACCTATGCCCTGGTGGGCTAATCCCCTTAAAAAAAAAGCAGCGAGAAATTAAGGTTTGTTTATATCCGGCAGTTCGGTTGCTCTCTCTCTCTCTCTCTCTCTGCTTGTCTATACAGAGTACAACATTTAACCCTTCAATATATATGAGGCAGTAAATAAGTGTTGCTTTCATATTCTTATGTAGAGTAATGACGATATATTTTCACATGTGCGCACTTACATACGAGCAGTCTCACTTTTTTTTTTTTTTACCATTAATGGTTAGCTACTTATATTGTTCCATTTATTAACATTAAATAACATTACAGTTACTTCAAGCAACCATATTAATTTTTTACATTAATTTTACTACAGCTAAACTCAGGGTCTTATTTTCTTCAGTTTTATATGTAGAACCAATCAGTTACTGGTTTCGTAAGCTTTAACATAAACAATGCCGGCAGCCGTCTCGTCTCCTCTAATATTCCACGTATTATTAATAAATTGTATTGTTAATTTTGCACACACGTACATTAATTTAATAAAAACAAATTCAGAAACATTAATTAAAATATATATGAACAGTAAATAAGTGTTGCTTTCATATTCTTATGTAAAGTAATGACGATAGGTTTTCACGTGTGCGCATGCGCACTTACATATGCGATCTCTCTTTTTCTTTACCATTATCGTTAGCTACTTCTATTGTTCCATTTATTAACATTAATTAACATTACTTAAAACAACCATATTAATTTTACTACAGCTACAACCAAGGTCTTATTTTCTTCAGTTTTATATGTAGAACCAGTCAGTCACTGGTTTTGTAATCAACGAAAACAATGCTTTGTCATTTCCTCGTGTGTTTTAATATTCTACGTATTATTAATGAATTGTATTGCTCATTTTGCACACATAAACATTAATACAATAAAAAAGACATTCAGTAATAAACAATAATGAATCTTTTGTACATAAGAGAAATGACTCTGTTTACACGATTATGCACGTCGTCTGCACGTTGGCGGGCCGTTCAAACCCGTCGAAATTTAAGTTTCCGCCGTCAAAATTTTTATTTATTTATTTTTTTGTGTGTTCCAATAAAATACATTAAGAATTAAAAACTCACGAAATTTGAGAAGGTACTATACAACATTTAACCCTTCAATATGTCTTCAAAGAGACCATGACGCAGAGAAAGTGGTGCTAGTGCTTCCAGGCATAAGCACAAGTCACTATCTATCCAGGAAAAGGGTGAATTTCCATGGTCCGGCACCGGTCAGGTCCCGACGTTGCCGGACTAGAGAGGTACAACCTGTACTTGGAAATTATAAATAAAATAATTTGTAGAATTTTCTGTGGCCAAAAATACTGTTTTATTTTAAATCCCAGTCAAATAACCTGTGGTTATTAAGCCGGATACTGGTCAAATAACCCCTGCCTATAATATAATAGTTTTACAGTGCAGTGTTGTGTATTATACAGTACATAGTTATTTTTCTTATTTCCAGGAAGTTTCAAGGACCAACAACACATCTCGGTATGACAAGCTAAGACTCAACTAAACAAACTGATGAAACACCTCTGACCTGTGGGACACACTTGTATGTGATGCCATCAACAGCAACTGATGAAACACCTCTGACCTGTGGGACACACTTGTATGTGATGCCATCAACAGCAACTGATGAAACACCTCTGACCTGTGGGACACACTTGTATGTGATGCCATCAACAGCAACTGATGAAACACCTCTGACCTGTGGGACACACTTGTATGTGATGCCATCAACAGCAACTGATGAAACACCTCTGACCTGTGGGATACATCAACAGATATTCTGTTACTTAACATCATGTTATCTAATGCTTGTGTTTATGTACTGTACAGTACTGTAGTATTTAAAACATGAATTACACTGTGCCAGTAAATTATAAATCCTCTTTATACTGTATGCCTTTTCTCAAGAATATCGGCTAACTTTATAATTTAAGCATTTTATCGTTCACTTTCCAGAAAAGAAAACATCCAGTAACAGTATTCCCAATCAAAATTCCTGACCCCTTATCTTGTGTTTGAGTACATGAGGGCATGGCATAGATTTTGTTTAAATTTCATACAAAGATGCTCTTTTATATGCTGATTAAGAATATAGATTTAAAATACACAATCGTGTATTCCTCTGAAAGTGTGCATTTATGTAAATGTTTATAAAAGAGAGAGTGTGTGTTTATATGCATTTGTGTTTGTTTAAAAGTGTGTGTGTGTTTTGTATAAATATTTGAATGTGTTTTAGTGTAAAAGTGTTAGTGTTAAGTATACAAGCACTTGTGTAACATCAGGTATAAAAACAAATGTCAAGATTAGTTATTGCTTAAACTTGACTCAAAATTAACCTTTTGGCCACCCACTAGAGGTGGTCATTGAATTGAATTGAAACAGTTTATTAGCCAGAAAAACACAGATCCAGAGTGGATAATAATAACAATATTAACATGGCTGAGCCAGTTGAGAACCTGAGCTGCACCTGATTATAGTAATATACTATACATTTATCTCAAGGAAATATTATGTAACATTTAGTATCATCTGGAATAGTACAATAACATGGTGGTAATAAGAACATCTCATAATGTTACCACGGTTATCACTTCAATATACCTCAGTGTTCACAAGAGAGGATGCAACTAACCTTCCTGCGTTTGAGGACAGACGGTTCGACACAGCACTGACCCACATTGTGTTCACAGAAGAGGGTATTAGAAATAAACTGTCCAGGCTAAAGGTCCATAAGAGTCCTGGACCTGACATGGTGCATCCTAGAGTGCTAAGGGAGCTGTGCAACGAGCTTGCAGAGCCCCTGAAGATTCTGTTTTGTAAATGCCTGGATGAACAAATGGTCCCCAGTGAATGGAAAGTGGCTTATGTGAGTCCTATCTTCAAGAAGGGCGATAGTCACTCCACGAACAACTATAGACCGGTGAGCCTGACCAGCATAATATGTAAGGTACTTGAGAGCATTATCAGAGATGCAGCGATGGAACATCTACTACGAAACAACCTTGTAAAAGATTGCCAACACGGTTTTATGCCGGGGCGCTCTTGCTTGACACAATTGCTCAAGGTATTGGATATTTGGACCCATATTCTAGAACGGGGTGGTAATATCGACAATATTTACCTAGATTTTGCCAAGGCTTTCGACAGTGTACCCCACGAAAGGCTGAAAATCAAACTGGAAGGGTACGGAATTCGGGGAAATGTCCTAGCGTGGATAGAAGACTTTCTACATGACCGCAAGCAATGTGTGGTGATTAATGGCACGAAATCGTCATCTGTACCTGTAACAAGTGGGGTACCGCAGGGTAGTGTATTGGGCCCGCTGTTGTTTGTTTGTTTCATAAATGATATGCCTGACGTTGTACACTCCTCCATACAAATGTTTGCCGATGATGGCAAGTTATTTCGGGAAATTAAGAACCAAGCGGACTGTGAAGAGCTGCAGAAGGACCTCTGTGGGCTCCAGGAATGGTCGAAGGAATGGCTGCTGAGATTCAATGTCACGAAGTGTAAGAGGATGCACCTGGGGCGTACCAACGGTAAGGAGGCGTACCATATGTCCCAACGGGATGAAGAAAATGTACTAGTTGAGACTGTGTGTGAGAAGGACCTAGGTGTGTATGTTGACAATGAGCTGAAGTTCTCGGGCCATTGTGAGAAGAAGGTAAATCAGGCAAATAAATTATTGGGTCTTATAAGAAGGTCGTTCAGATATCTAGACGGTCCGTCCCTCGTGACGATCTTCAGGAGTGAAGTGCTTCCCCATCTGGAGTACTGTCACCCCATCTGGTCCCCGAGATATGCTAGGGACTGTCAGTTGGTTGAAAATGTTCAAAGGAGGGCCACCAAACTGGTGCCTGCACTTCGGCACCTCAGCTACCCTGAGAGATTGGAGCGCCTGAACTTGCCTAGCTTATACTACAGACGGGCAAGGGGGGACCTAGTTGAGGTTTATAAGCATCTCAGGGGGCACTACTCAGTTGAGTGTCCTTACTTGGAGCTGGCGGACGCTCGCCCCACAAGGGGTCACAGCTCAAGATTGAAGAAGCCGCAAGTCCGGAAAACCGTGAGGGCAAACTTTTTCGGAGTGAGGGTTGTAAACTCTTGGAACAATCTACCAGAGAGTGTTGTGACGGCACCGAGTGTGAGCTCTTTCAAGAGAAGACTTGACCAACACTGGAGCGGGTTCAGGTACATTCAGGAGCCGGTACATGCCCAGTATTTGCCAACAGTGCGTGACAGAGACGTGACCGATCGCCCGGGCGGCTAGCGAGCCGACCTTTTGGTGAAGAATATAAAGGAAAAGAGACGTGACCGATCACCCAAGCGGCTAACAAGCCGATCAGTGGCGAAGAGGATAAAAGTAAAAAGTAAAAGTAATATTTATATATATATATATATATATATATATATATATATATATATATATATATATATATATATATATATATATATATATATATATATATATATATATATATATATATATATATATATATATACCCTATACAGTATACATAAATTACAGTGAAATTGAAGAACATAAGTATAATGGGGGAGCAGTACAGTATGGGTTGTACGGATGTAAGGTTGAACAAGAGGACAGAGCTGTCAGGATTATGTCTAGTTGGCAAATACAGCTACTCCTCGACTTACGACCACCCGGACATACGACCGCCCCAGTCGTACCAAATTTTTTCAAATTACATCTTTTCGAGTCCCGACGTTAGTGATTGCACTGTATACTGACAAAAAAAAATTTTGTAATTCCATTTTAAATTTCTGGCATGCTTAAAGTGAGAGTTTTGTGGTGCTGAGAAGAAAAAGAGACACCCATTTTAGATTTTCTATGTATCATCACATTTTTTACTTATGACCAATTCGACTTGCAACCTGGATTTGGGTCCCTAACCCCATCGTAAGTCAGCAGTGGCTGTATGTTTATTGCAATGATAATTTCCGATAAAACGGTTTTGATGGTACAATAAAAGCTGGTATTGTAAATATACAGCTCCTCCCCGACTTAGACGGGGTTATGGACCCAAATCCAGGTCGTAAGTCTAAAATGCTTAAATAATACATAGAAAATCTAAAATGGGTGTCTCTTTTTCTTCTCAACATCACAAAACTCTCAACTTTAAGCTTGCCAGCCATTTTAAAGTGAATTACAAGCAAAAATTTTGTCTGTACTGACATTGGGACTCGAAAAAACGTAATTTGACAACATTTTGGAACGACTGAGGCAGGTCGTAAGTCGGGGAGGAGCTGTAGTAGGTATTGCAAGAAATATTAATACTTAGACAAAACTGTATATATTTTTTAAGAGATGATTTAAAGGTAGGGAGTGTAGTCTTTGCTCGGATGGGTGGGGGTAAGTTCTTTCACACCGTGATATTTTATGGAGGTCTGGGACTGAGGAAGACACACATAGATTGGTCTGTGTGTGGCACATGGGTGGTGTGTGTGTGTGTGTGTGTGTGTGTGTGTGTGTGAGATAATAATTAATGGTTTATTGAAAGAGCTTGGCAGCCAGAAGGCTGAAAATATACAGTTACATATTTGGGGAATGGGTTACAATTACAAATAATATACAAGTAACATAAGTGACACAAATAAGACATATAATAACTTAGATGGGGATCAGCTCAAACTACAGTTCATTTCAACATAGTGACAGTGTAAGGAGCAGTGTTTACCGGAGTGATACACTGATTTATTACATGTTATTGATAATTTTCACAATGGTTGGGACTGGGCTGTTCTTATAGCGATCAGTTGTACGCGTATGGGCTGGATCGGTTGTGGTGTCGAACAGCATCTCGGACAGGGGATGTCAGGTGGTAGTAGGAGCGATATGGGGATGGTGTAGAAGCTTCTTACCAAATTTGCAGATGAGGTCGTGGTGATGGTCAGTGAGAGTCGAAGGGTCAGTGTTGGCGCTCTTGATATGGAGTAGGAAGGGGAGAGAATAATCTTGCATGCCCTCTTTTTCTAGGTGTTTACGTTGTGTGGGAGGAAGACCAGGTGGGGAGGCATAGGTGAGCTTGGGAAGTATGAATGTTGTGTAAACACTGAGGAGCTCGTGTGCAGGAACTCCGAGGACTTGAGTCGGGAGACAGTGAGACGGAAACTGGAGGCTTTGACAACTTCACTGACGTGTGGTTTCAATTTAGTTTGTTGTCTATGGTGACCTGAGGAGCCGTGGAATACACCAGGTGTGTTCGGACCTAGGGTAATGGAAGGAGGTGGGACAATGTCGGAGGAGAGGTTGATGTGCATAACCATGGTCTTGGTATGGTTGGTGACATGGTTGTTGGCGGCCCAGTTTGGAGACTTTCAATAATCCTGTGTGTGTGTGTGTGTGTGTGTGTGTGTGTGTGTGTGTGTGTGTGTGTGTGTGTGTGTGTGTGTGTGTGTGTGTGTGTGTGTGTGTGTGTGTGTGTGTGTAAATTACAGTGAAATTGACATGGGTTGTACAGTAGTAAGGATTGAACAAGAGGACAGAGCTGTCAGGATTATGTCTGGTTGGCAAACACAGCTACTCCTCGACTTCACGACCTACTCGACTTCACGACCACCCGGACATCACGACC